ATTTATCTTATACAAAAAAAATTTAAGAACAGAGAACTGAAAGTTTTGGTTTGGTATCAGAATGTCAGAAAAAGATACAAGAAGGTCCAAGTCATTTACAAATACATAATTATTTTAGCAGAAAGCCTGGTCTGCATTTTTTCATCTGCAATACCTGCATTGGAAATGGTTTGGTTTTTAATTCTATATATTTCCACCCCCACCCATAAAGTGAACATTTAAAACATTGGAATTACCATTCATCATTGATTAAATAGATTGGAAAAGACTGTACTAGTCACGTTTTGTTTGTGCATTGAGACAGCACCTCAACCCAGCCAGTTCTTATTAATGCAGTTTCAGTTCAAGCTCAGATGACACCGAGAATGATCTTTTCATCTTTGACAACAGAAAAATGTGGACAGGTCTCTCTCCCTGCTGCTAGCTGCAATATCTATTAAGGGGTGAACTGTAGTTCTCCATGTACCATTCAATATCAACAGAACAAAATGAAGTTTGGAAATAATCTTATACGATCTGATTTAACGTACGTTTGGGGATTTGCAAATAACATCATAAGAACTTTTTGAGTTTTAGGGGCTTAACAGGGTTCAATTTGCATTAATTTGAAGCCACAGTTTTTTTCATCTTCTAACTCTTAAGTAACTCAAATAGTTTTAAGCAAGCAAACATAGTCCTCGTGTTGTCAAATAACAGCAGTTCACTTGCTGCAATGTTCACTGTTACAGCTACTACAGTCTGAGAAAATACTTTGTTTTTTTGTACCAAATTTCCCAGTGACGTTTTTTAAACATGCTGTTTTGTGATGTGAATATTAAGATCATTGTAATTTATGGAGGCAATTCAGGAAATAGAACTGTTTCTATATGTTGTTGTAAATCTTTACTTAGCTCCTTCAAATGTGCCTTTTATAGTGCGCTGTATCGGAAGATCATTTCCTTAATAACACAACTAGAATAGATTGAAGTAAAATACCAGTGATACATGCTTAAAACAATCTTTATGGGAAAGGTTATTTACTGGTATACAACTGATTCATTTGGAAAATTGCCTGCGCACACTCCTTGATGCTGAAATGGAAACATTCCAAAGGGCAAGCTATGCATACTGACTTACTAGAGAGTTATAAGTAATCAATCTCTTCTTTTGCACTTCCTGGGTAACCCTGAAAGGCTCTCATTACAATGTAGAGCAATGACTGATTGCTAACATGGCTAAGAGATCGTCTTCAAGAGGACTACTGACATGATGAGATGTATTGGAATTGCTCCGCAGGCCAAAGATTTACACAATATTATCACACTTACTTGCAGGTAGTGATGAACTGGAAGTATTTTTGTGATCCATTTTCTGTCATTTGGGAAAAGTTTTAAATTGAGGCAATTTTGCTGCCTTCGCCTGAGCGCCCCCCATGATCTAGTTATGTTAATCTGACCTAGATCTCATGATCCAGTTATGGTATTTATGTTATGATCTCAGAAGACTCTTTGATTAGTGGTACAGTCCTATGATGACCATCAGTTCAAATTCAGGTATGTAATTTCTATCGATTCTTGAAGGAGTTAGCGCTCCCTTGGGATGCTATCCTTAAATGGGCGTGTGTGCATGTAGATTAGACTGAAGTCTGGCTGTAATCATCCCGAGGGGCTTCATAATTACCTGGGGATCGAGAAGCAGAATAGTAATATTCTGAATAAAAAATGGTGACCTTCACAGAGCTTGCAGATTTTCCAATGACATTTGTATACGGAATATGGAAACACATTTCTGCAATGTCAAATACAGTCAGTTCAGTTTATTGTTACCTGGTGCTCTGGTTAAAATATGAACACTGAAAATATGAAGGGAAGACAGGTCTGCTCAAAAAGATAATCTTGTTAAATAAAATCTGACCTTTGTCCAATGTTGACTCCGTCCATACATTAAATAAGGGGAAAATCATATCTCTAGAAATTGTTCAAGAAGGAGGTAGTTTATCTTCATTCAAGAGATGGGTTTCTGCTTGCTTCAGAATGACAAGGAAGAAAAGTTTTCTTACCTTTTCCTGGAAGACTTGTATTCACTCTGCTAGGCATAATGGACTCTTTGGGCTCCTTGCTAGTGATACAGTGAAAAAGCTGATTCTGTTTATTGCTAACCTTTCTTTCCTTTTTTTTGAGCTTTGCCGCTCAGTAGTGAAGCTTGAAAATTCTCAAGCCTTTATATACAGATATTAAAATGAGAATGTCTATGAATCTATTGTATCAGTAGCAGGTATAAATATTTGAATTGTTTGATTATATTGCCATACTGCAAACTATCCACAAGTGCTGCAAATTATACCAAGTCATTCATAAAAATAGAAATTTATATCCCTAATATCTTATAAAACTTCATGCTTTATAGTTAAAGTTCAAGAACTGTGTCAAGTTACTTGTACTTTACCATTACACAGTAATACTTGCATGTAATCCTTAATTTACTATTTTCTTACATAACCTGAGAGGAAAAACTCAGAACTGACACATTAGTGTACTTTATGAAAAATAAAGCACCATAAGCTACTGTCATTTTGGAAATAGAAGCAGAAAGGGGGGAAAAATGTAAGACTATACCAGAATGTTAGGTAGGTCTTAAAATCTTGCATCTAATTTTTGACTGATGCTGAGACTAAGTACTATAATACTCTCCCTTTAATTAAAGTCCCTTAGAAAAACTTGACTACTTATTAAACAAAGATTAAGACTAAGGACTGATTCTGCTCTCACTTAGGCCCCTGCCAGAAGTGCAGATGAAGGTGCATTAGAATCCAACACACAATCCACACAATTGCACATCTTGATCCTGGGCTCATCCTGCACCACCAAGTTGCAAACCCTGTGGCTGGATTCCCTCTCAACTGACAGGGCTCCATGGGAGGCCCATCAGATCACCCATGCTCCAGCCACGAAGGTGCGTGATGCAGCCCAGAACAACTGACAGGGCTCCCAGCCACAGGGGTGCACCTAACCAGACTTTCTATTCATGGCACAATAGGAACCAGCCACATGTTTTTATGGAGTAACTTTGTGGCTTATTCCTTGTTTTATGACTATATTAGTTGCTTTTGTGTGTGGCTGGGTCTCAGCTTAAGACGTGATTAACTAGTTAACCATATCTTAGGTGCAACATGTGGCAAGGGCCTTGGATGAACGCAGTTCCTTGAAGGCAATGGAAGTGAGCCTTTCACCTCTAGAAATACACCTTAACTAAACTTGTACCTTAACCTGAAGGCTCTGTGCGATTGCACAGACAAAAAATCTATTAAGACTGCAATGCCAAAATGGAAACAAAACCAACTTTCTCAAAAGGAACATATTCCAAGCTGCTTTAATATCTTTTGTTTGTTTATATTTCTGAAGGTTGGGGAAAAAAAATTAGAGAAACCTTAATGAAATTCTGCCATTTTATAGAAAAGAAAGTAGATATTATCACTTAAAATGGTTTACTTATGTCTTTTGCATATTTTATAGTGCTCATTCATTTGGACATCAAAATTGGTATTTAACAAAACTATTAAAGTTTCTGAACTTTTTTTTTTTTTTAGTTTTGGTCTTTCGGAGCTTCTGTTACCAATACACCTATTTGTAGTGGAATAAAAACATACTTTTTTTTTTTCTTTGGAGGTTGAATAACATTATGGTTGTCCAGGATATTACATAATTGTAAGACTGCTCCACAGAGGCTGGTTAGTCAAGATGCTGTACAAGTCCCAGGTTACAGAGGCACACCCAGGTTAATCTGGTGCTAAGAAGTGGGAGTTCTAGAAAACCATGGTGTGGTAGGATCCTGGTATGTAGCTCTGAAACCAGGATATGGCCTTCAAATGACTTTTTGAAAACCTCTGGTGATTAAGACTCTTTCCAGGTTCCTTTACCACTCTAAGGAAGATTATTTGTGGGTGTCTGCAATCAAAAGAATTTAAAATTTCTACCAATATAACAAAGAATGGAAAAAATAGTAATTCCCTAAACTAAGAGCTTAAGCACAGAGCTATATAGCCTTGAAGGATGTGTTTTAAATACCCAGCATTAAAATTACTCAGTAAATATCAAGGAAGCACTGATGTAACTCAAAGAACTTGTTAGT